AGGACGAGCTTGATGTTGAGCTTGAAAGCTTGTGCGAAAGTTTTTGCAGTGAGGTTGGCTTGGGTGAGCTTGAGAGAACCCCCAGTAAGCAGTCCCGTGAAGACCGAGTTGTGCTTGAGAACCCCGTTGAGCTTGCCAGCCTAGATAGAATTTTGCATGGTGACACATCCGAGGCCCAAGCGGGTGGACCCACCCGGTAGGCCTAAGGGATGAGCCCTGAGCCAGGACTGTCCCGGATAGCTTGCTCAAGTCCATCTCGTGGATGGAGAGAGTTGCGGAGTTCAAGGCGGAGCTCCGCGCTACAAGTGGTCGGCTGGCGTGGGCGGCTAAGGACAAGATCGTGGAAGCCCTCTACGAGGGGGCGCCGTTGATCCGGAGAGCGCCCCGATATCCAGTGATGGTCTTGGTGGTCTTCGAGAGGGTGGTCCTCGACGATAGCGAGCCGACGGGCTTGCGGATATATGCCTGGGCTAAGTTGGTCAAGGTCTGGGCCTCGCTAATGGTCTGACCTCCAGGCCATTCGGCCGGGAGAACTCAAGCTAGAGGAGGGCCGCTTGGTCACCACGCTACGTCAGAAGAAGAAGAATTCGGGGCCACACAGGCGCATCAAGGAGCCGCTATGTGTGAGTGAGGCCCTTCTTCGAGAACCCATCGTGGCTTCGGATAGGCTTCGAGCTGCTACAGTGGCTGGTCACTTTCAGCCGAGACTACTTGCTGCCCAAGCTAAAGCCCGACCTCGCGGTCTTCGAGAAGAAGATGGCCGAGTACGCCGATGCTGTGGTGGTATCGGCCGCTATCCTGCAAAGGGCAGGGATGCCTGCAATAGTGCAGGGTTTCTGGACGGAGCACTCCGAGAGGTCGGTGCTACCCACGGGGCTCAGCGTCCTTGGAGTGAATGGGCCCGAGAAAGATCTCTTTCTTGGGCAGATGGAAGCGTGAGGGGTCCGATACCTACGCCAGGTCCTATGGCGGAAGGGTGGCCAAGCTCCAGCTAAAGTTCGCGGTTGCGGCCCGCCTCCTTCCCATCCAACATCCCTTCGCTCCAGACCTATGGAGCCTAAATATCGCCCCGGAAGTTCCACGATGACGTAGAGAGACTTCCTATCCTCCACTCGGGGCAACTTAGCGGCGGGGGCCCCTGCACCCTCAGAGCTATCACTATCCACCTTCTGCTCCTCGGGGATCGGCTCCAGAACTATCGGCGGGGCCTGCTCCATAGTTTAGAAACTCCCAAGAGTTTGCGCACCTTCCCGATAAGTCCGAATACACCCATGTTTGTCGGCTATGCTGGCCGGGCGGCGAAGAGGGGGAAGACTCCGCTGGCGAGGCCTCCCCAGCCCTCTCAGGAGATGGGGAGGCGCTAGTGGTCGGATCCAGCTATCCGGTGGAGCCGGAAGGGGTACCCCCTGAGGAGGGGGACGAGTAGAGTTCCTTTCGGAATGGGCTCGCTACATGCCGGGTTTTTGTTGATAGTTCTCCGCTTGCCATTTCAATCAAAATCTTCACTTCTTTTCCCGAGTTTTCCCCCGATATGTTTCCGAGACCTGACGGGGATCAGGGGAAAAAGGGGGGAAAGGGGAGAAGAAGAGAGAACGGACATGTTGCCTGCTACAGTCATGTTTCGGCGTGTGCACGCTACAGTCTCGTCTGCACCTTGTTGCCGCTAACTCTTATTCGCAGGGCAAGCTACTTCTACTCTGCCGGTTGTGAGCTGCACTGTCTTCCCGCTACACTATCAGGACATGGCTACTCGCTAGGTAAAGTGGAAAGCTTGTGCTCCGATAGCTTCGGCTTGATCAAGATTTTTAAGTGAGTTGGGAAAGAGAGGGCGCCCGTGAAAGGCCCCCGATAGAGATTGTTTTTGGGGACTTAGGGCGCCCATCAAAAGACCCCCGCTATGTCAGACAATGTGTCGTTGATCGACGCGATAAAGTTGGTGGCCAAGGCCACCCGAGAAGACGCCGCCAAGGTGTCAGATATAAAGGAGCTCTGCATCCAGAGCAGATAGATGATATGAGGCTCATGCTGTCCAGGGCCCGCGATGGCTCGCTAGCAGCAATTGCCCCGGCCAGCGCGGCCGCTACTTCAGCTACAGCCCCTACGGCTAAGGCGGCCCGGCCGATACCTCTTCGACTGCTACTGTGCGTGGAGAGCGCGCTACCTCGGTGCACCGGCGTACATGGAAGGGGGCCAACAAGGCCTCCGCTAAGTTTCAAGGGGTGCCTCCCCCTCTGGATAGGGAGTATCCCCCGCTAGCAGTGTAGCCTAAGTTATTCGCGACGTTTTGCTATCCAGGAAAGTTTTGAGGAAGTCTCAGTTTGGTTTCTGGAGTTTTCCTGCATCTTTCTGTGCAGGAGAGTGTTTTTCCCAGCTGCGCCACGTTTGAAGCCTGTAGTGAAGTGTTTTGCTT